TAAACGAATAATCTTTTTTTGTAGGATAGCTAATGGATTCACTGTTGTATTGTACGTGTTACCCCAAGCAACTAGAGCGTATGTAAGAAATGGATAGATAAGTGAATAATATAAATTAATAAGAATATCCAAGGTCACAAAATTACGTATTTTTGAGATAGCTCCAATATTGCGCTTTATCTTTTTGGAGATTTCTAAAACCTGAGCTTTATATAAGTGCATGAGTTTACAGTTTGATCAAGGTCAAGGACGTGTTCACACGAGGACAAGCACAAAAAGATTTTTTTTATATTTTCACGAGGACTGGCGGTGTCCCGATTGTTATACAATCCTAACCACTTAAGAGATACGAAAGCACTTCATATTCATTTATGACACTACAGAGAACAGCTGAATTAGCTAGAGCTGAATTAAAGTTGATATAAAGTAAACTTGAATATATACGTGTGTGCTTAAATTCATCGGTAATTCGGTGGATAGAGAGGGGCGGTCTCCAAATTCCAAGAATTATAATGCAAGTTATAATCTGATGTTGATCTATGAAATTCCATAAGCAATTTAAAAGGCGTGTCTGTGTTTGAAACAGTATATGAAAACTAAATGTTAATGTGGACCACGAGGCATGTATAACATATGATATTGCGCATAAATTAGTCCAACAATAATAACATGTAATGCTTTCATAGTTTACACTTTCCCATAAAAAAATGGACAGGATTTCCGACCTTGGGACGTAAATCCATCTATTTCGACAGGAAAAACGTCGAGGCGGCAATTTCCTGAGAGCGTGTCGCGACAACTTCTCCAGGATACTCCCGGAGAGCCTTGTAATTCTTTGCCGATTACAGAAGACGCCAGTTGGAGACGGAAGTTTAAAAAGTCAATCACAGCGTGGTGCCTTTGTTGCTCTTATGCAGGCACAAGGTTTGGCAATACCTCAATACAAGGAGAAACCTTTCATGAAATCATTTTTAGTGTACGTTTGACCGATGTCATGGTCTACATTTTTGAAAAGTTATATAAAGTTGTATATATAAAAGTTATAGAACGTTTATATGGGCACCATGATTCTCTTCAAAACCAAAAAGCACTTCTATCGGATTTATATTTGTACAATACAAAGCACATCATCATTAATTAACCCAGCTTTTAATCTCCTTATGATCCGACATGATTTTAACAATTGTCACACCTTAATTACTACGTTTTGGGCGTGTGATTCTCTAATGAATAGGCATTCTAATTTATAGTGTATAGGCATTCTAATGGACAACGGATTTTAAATTATATTCGTATTTTATTTCGAAATCCCTGTTTATGTACATTTTACCATATTAAATATATATACAAGAGCTGTAGTTGTACAGTACATACACGTGATAAGTCACATAGATTCCTACGAATATTTCTGCTGTTTTTACTATATTTTTCTTATAAATATTTTATTTAAGTATCAACCCAAGACATTTTAGTGCATATAAATATTACATTTAGACAAAGACAAAGGCAACAATTGATGTTCCAAAGTATCAATTAATGTCATTTTTCTTACATTTACTATGATTATAAATAGCACAATATAAACGAATTTGTAAATAACTTTAACTGAACAGTCATTTTATAGTTGATTCAGTAACTGAAAGTGCACGTTTTCAATGTCTACAAAGTATTTTTTTAAAGTGTTTCCACTATCATATAACCAAGTCCTTGTCCATGTATCTACTCGTTTAAAGATCTTTCTGGAAATCTCACAAGCAAGAAAGCTGTCAATGAATATTGGTATTATTGTTAACTGAAGCTGATCTCAATGTATTTTCGATGGGCAATGCCTGAGGAGTGAGTCTATAGGATGAACACTGGATGGCTGGCAGTTGACGGACCCCTGGACAACTAGAGCAACAATCGCTGGAGCACGTTCGAAATGCATGAACACGATGGAAGTCTTCTTTTGGGGCTTGTGGGGGTGTACCTTGAGGGAATGGGAGGGCGGGGTAAGGATAGGAGGGTGATATCAATGGATAGAACGTAGGTGCCCATGTAGACCCAGGGTAGAAGGGCGGTAGGGCTAGTTCCTCTCTGGGAGTTGGGATTCGATAATTTCCCAAACTGCGGTAGAACATGGGTACCGAATTTTGAAGGATGTTTTTGTTGAATTTTCCACATTTGAATTGCTCAAAGTAGTTAGGATGTATCCGCCAAAATCGACCTTTTCCCTCGGCTGCAATCTCGCCTTTCACAAAGCATTCGTGTAAAGATAAATTGTGACGGACCGTGTTTCTCCATCCGGGACGGTTTGATAGGACCCCATAGAAATGTTTCTCCATGTACGTATAGATGCCTGCGAGCGTAAGCTTTGTTTCAGAGGATCGCAGAATGGCTGTAGCTATCATTCCTATATACGACAAGCTGTTATTGTCTCTGCTATCGTTTGTGTTTTCGACCACGTCTGCGCGAGTTTCCACTGCCTTCTCGCTACATGTCAGCCCATCCCTACACGACAATGCGTCGTCGCATAATTTCTTTTGAGATAGCACTTCATTCGTGTCGGTACGCAGACGTTCGTAGGAATCTTGAAACGTCTTCAATACATCTTGGTTTTCCAAACTTGAATACGTTGCTGGGTAATGCGATACCTCGTAGGGCGAATAGCGGCGTGGTGTTGCCCAATACTTGCGTTTACCAAACGAATCCATGCCGTTGTTTCTGTATACCTCCTTCGCCGTGTTCGGATTGTAAGCTTCTATGGACGAATACATGTTTTCTTTGTGTGTAGGTTAAATGGAGATTGTTTGAAAGCACTGGCTTTTTTTGTCTTCTTTCGAGAGCTTCGGGTATATTTGCTATTAAAAAGATAAAACCAGCAAGCTCAGTCAACAAACCTGCCGTGAAAAAAGCGTCGAACTCGCACGCAACAAAAACAAAAATGCGCTTTCATCAATTTGAATTTATGGAACATTTTGGGCCACATACTTTGAAATAAAAGATTAAGGAAAATGATGTACAATAAAGTACAAAGCGATCGAAAATGATAAAGCTGTTTTAAATTCATGATTAACAGTTCAATCAAAAACCAATATATATTCTATATATAAAGGGGAATAATTGTTTTTTGTTAATGTTATCTTGAGCATTGTATATTTTAAGTGTCCTGTACTTTTAGATCAAAAGGGATACTAACACTGTACAATAAATAATAATATAGTTGTACAATAAATATAATATAGTTGTACAATTTTACATGTACAATGATTATAATGACAATGCATGTTGGCGTTCACGTTTGCTATTGTATAGTTTGATATCTTAGTAGCAAAGACGGTAAGCTCTCAACTTTTTTTAAGCTAAATTATATAGGAGACATTTTGTTGTTTAAAATCAAGCATTACTGTATGAAAGCTAATAGGTATTTTTAGTACAGATTTTGTGGCACTTTTTTCTCTAAAAGTTAAAATGGAATTGCAATCTTCTTTTTATAAACTTGACCAACTTTCTTGGCAGTATTAAGTCCAATATAAACGTCTTCATATTTTTTAAATGGCAAAAATAATATTCAAATTAAACCAACGCTGCCGTATAGGATTTAAGAAGACATAGAATCCAAAATTGCTTTCAATAAATTTAACAAACGCATGAGACTGTGAGACTTTCTGAACCCTATGTTTATAGGATTGTCATATCGTTTGGATTTCATTCAGGATACGCAAAGCAAACGCCCCAATCGCGTTCATGTGGGCGGCACATTTTACTGTTCCTAAAGTGGGAAATAATATTTGTTCGACCTAAGCTCAATGGAGCATTTGTTTATATCAACAATATTTCAAGATAATAAAATATAGATTATGACAAAGCTGTAATGTATCTATAGCAAACGAAACCACTTGTCCGTTTTTTTTTCTTGATTGCAAAACATGTCAAACTGACATGCGGATGTACAATTTTACAGTACAAAGTTTTCAGTTTCTGGATTAAGAATAACTGAAGATTCGAACCGTTTTTGCCACAAGACGCGAATAAACAAATATCCCAAACGTTAAGCCTGTGTCTCTTTGACATCTTCTAACGGTATCACCCTGTGCCATTCAAACGAAACAAATGAAACAAGCATTTAATATATATACCCGTACAGAACTTTGTTCTAAAGTTTACTTTTAAAACGTTCTAAACCCTTTCAAATGTTGCAATTAGCGGGATAATGTAACAACTTTTCGTTTTAGAACAAGTTGGTTTCTTATCATGGTTAGTATTAAAAAGAGGAAAGGTTTTGAAAGTATCAAAATGTTTCAAGTAAAAAATAGTTTGTCATTGTTTGCTAACCTTGCTTACAGCTTCTCTGTTGTTATTTCTTGATGGACTTTCGTTATTGATTCCCCGTTGATTTTCTTTAAAACGTATCTTCTTTATTTCGTCAAGACGTCCAAACGCATGTTTCCTCTTAATGGTACCAGATAACCGAGCACGGCCTTTTAACTTCGCGAAGACAATACACTACATAGCATTGCTTCCGTCTCGTTAATAATTCAACGTTTTACTTTGCGACGGCGCGCGCAACAACAGGGGGTGGGTTGTACCCACCCCCTTGCACTTGAAAAACAATGAATCTATAATTCTTAAGAAAAATTATATTAAACAAAAACATAACAAGATAGCAGAGTTAATAATACCAGAAGTGTTTGACAGACATGTAGCATGTTATATTTGCTTAAATTTTAGTGTAACAACTATTAGCATACATGTGCTAACTCGCGAATATTTAAGAATACGTTACCCTGAATAGAGTCAGACAAGATACATATAGAATTAAAACCGAAATCGTTATGTGTGATATTTTAATTAGGAGTAACACATTGTCAGGCTCAACCACGCTTCGTTTATTTAAGATGCAGTTAAATAACTATTATAGATATAACATCGCTAAACCGCGAATTATTTGGACGAATACCGGACACTTTGATAATCAAGATTGGAATTTAGATAAGATAAAAGTAAACCGTTATTTGTGATATTACCACAAACTGTGCATTTACAGACTATGACAAGTTTTGTTTACCAAATTTAAGATAAACAATAGTTATATAATCAATATATCTAAATATAATCAATGAATCTAGCTAATTTGTTCGTGGAGTGCATTGATGAACTGAGACGAGTATAGCGAAACATTTCAATAATATTGCCATTCACTCGTGACTTTAGACGCGACGATTAATTTCTGGTCACAAAAATTCAATTTGGATTCAACGAGGAAACTGTAAATATGAGAAGCACACCAATTTTAATCTCATCTTAACGATTCAATTGAGTTTGCTCGTCACCTGTTTGTATGTTATTCATTTGTTCTTTCAGATCAGGTCAACGAGTTGATGAAAGTTGACAAAATTGTGGTATTGATAAACAAGCAATCAGAAAGCTGTGGATTGATACGGATTCAACAACCTGAAAAATACAAGGAGAACTTCGACGTTTCAAGGCTCTTCGTCCGGAAGTGGCCGAAGTTTTGCATGTATTTTTCAGGCAGGTAGTTGAATCCTTCTTAATCCTCAGCTTCATAGTGTTATTAAGGAGCTTAAAGCCCCGTTTACACGAGCAAATTTTATTTGACAAATTTCATATGACAAATGCATTTGATCAAAAGCTAGCATGCTAGCTTTTGTTCAAATGCATTTGTCACAATAAATTTGTCACAAATGCATCATCCACACGAGCAAAATATCTTTGACATATGAAATTTGTCAAATAAAATTTGCTCGTGTAAACGGGGCTTAAGCATGTAGGACGGCAAACGCGACGGCTATACGGCAAAGAAACTCGTTAAACCAAATGATTGCAGAAGAAAACCTGTCGTCTATTATCCATCGTATGAAAATAATACATTTTAAGGATCAAGATGAACACTGGGAAAATGATTGAGAAAGGTTCTAGGACCCAATTTAAAATAGCAGTTGTCGTAGCTTGAAATATAAGCGTTGTATACAAGACGTGATATTCTGTATTTTGTCGTTGTAAAACAGAGCTACGGCAACGTTTAAAACGTCCGTGAGATTTCAATTATTAATTTCTGCTCATTTTCTTCCATTATTATGATATTATTAGCTGTTCTCGTCGCACTTTCGTTCTGCTTTGTTGAAGTTCTTAATAACAGTAGTTCTTTATAATTATAAAAGCGTAAAATTTAAGGTGGTTTCTTGATATGTCCCCGTACTAGATTAAGCTTTGCTTATAAAGTTCGTTAATAGAGAGGTTAAGATACCCCGGTTTCGGTGTACGTGTATGGGTAGCATGATTTTGGTTAGCAATATTTTCGTTGATGTCTGTACCTTTACTCGTAATTAAGGTGCACATTTTTCGCATTATATCATTGTCTATTGCAAGAAAACAGAAAAAGTATGATTGAATTACAGACAGTAAAACAAGATGACACTACTCGTACCCGTACACCGAAACCGGGGTATCTTAACCTCTCTATTGTCACTACCTATACACGCTTGGCACAGACCGTTTGAGTTCATAAACAAGCAATCCCTTTATTTTAAGGTAACTTAAGAATGCAATAATGGTTCTATCAACTTGGTTTCTATATATAAAAACATTTAACTGAATGAAACTCTACTTCATTCCTCAGATTTGCGCTTCCATGACCGTGTAGTTAGATGCCTGTCTCACCTAGATGTTTAATTTAAGGCTAGATTATTATACCCGTTACATATTGCTTAAAGGCATGTTTACCTTTGCTGCGATTTTCTTCTTGTGATGGATGGGAACGAGTGGATGAGTTATGAATGTTCAGATGCGGGTTCGTATATTCAGATCATTCATAACTCATCCACTCGTTCCCATCCATCAGAAGAAGAAAATCGCACTAGAACTCGCAAAGTGTATGAACCGGCCATTATTCTCGGGGAAAAACGCAACAAAGAGATATCATTGCACATGTATAGACATGCCATTACATGTACAATACATTCACAATTTGAATATAAAAAATGCCATGTCTTATTAATATATAGCCAAGGGTAAACCAATCCTTATTCTCAGAAAAAAACGCAACAAAGAGATATCATTGCACATGTATAGACATGCCATTATATGTACAATACATTCACAATTTGAATATAAAAAATGCCATGTCTTATTAATATATAGCCAAGGGTAAACCAATCCTTATTCTCAGAAAAAAACGCAACAAAGAGATATCATTGCACATGTATAGACATGCCATTATATGTACAATACATTCACAATTTGAATATAAAAAATGCCATGTCTTATTAATATATAGCCAAGGGTAAACCAATCCTTATTCTCAGAAAAAAACGCAACAAAGAGATATCATTGCACATGTATAGACATGCCATTATATGTACAATACATTCACAATTTGAATATAAAAAATGCCATGTCTTATTAATATATAGCCAAGGGTAAACCAATCCTTATTCTCAGAAAAAAACGCAACAAAGAGATATCATTGCACATGTATAGACATGCCATTATATGTACAATACATTCACAATTTGAATATAAAAAATGCCATGTCTTATTAATATATAGCCAAGGGTAAACCAATCCTTATTCTCAGAAAAAAACGCAACAAAGAGATATCATTGCACATGTATAGACATGCCATTATATGTACAATACATTCACAATTTGAATATAAAAAATGCCATGTCTTATTAATATATAGCCAAGGGTAAACCAATCCTTATTCTCAGAAAAAAACGCAACAAAGAGATATCATTGCACATGTATAGACATGCCATTATATGTACAATACATTCACAATTTGAATATAAAAAATGCCATGTCTTATTAATATATAGCCAAGGGTAAACCAATCCTTATTCTCAGAAAAAAACGCAACAAAGAGAAATCATTGCACATGTATAGATATGCCTTTATATGTACAATACATTCACAATCTGAATATAAAAAATGCCATGTCTTAATATAGCCAAGTGTATGAACCGGCCTTTATTCTCAGAAAAAACCCGCAACAAAGAGAAATTATTGCACATGTACAGATATATCATTATATGTACAATACATTCACAATTTGAACTTAAAAATGCATGTCTTGCTAATATAGCCAATTAATAAGCCCCAATGAATTTCTTAAAAGCTGCACTAAATCTGTCCGTCCAAGGTCGACGAACTTGACGCTGTGGTGTCTTTTAACCAAACGGACATGGTCTGCATTACAGAGACTTGGTTATCTCCTGCAATTCCTGACAATTTGGTATCCTTGTCCAATTTCAATCTGTTTAGGAACGATAGACTGGTTTCAAACGGCGGAGGTGTTTGTGCTTACATAAATAGCAATATCTATTGTAGACGAATTGAGGAATTTGAAAACTCTTCGATTGAATCACTGTGGTTATCAGTGAGACCAAAGAAGCTACCCCGCTCTGTCTCGGTTATCTTACTGGCTGTTGTTTACCATTCAACAGCATCCCGCCAAACTGAAAATGTAGAATTGTATTCACACATTCAAACCAATGTGGACTCATTTTTATATTCCCACCCTGAAGCTTTGGTCCTAATTACGGGCGACTTCAATTTTAGAAGCACGGGTCTCGATGCAAACCATCTTAAAAGAATGGCTGGTCTGACGCAGATAGTCAAGGTAGCTACCAGAGCTGATGTAACTTTAGACTGGTGTTTAACCAACTCAAAGGTGGATAATATTTACGAATCAATCCAACTTCCTCCCATTGGAACCAGTGATCATTATACGATTCTTATGAAAGCCCAACCCTCTCCCTCAAAGCCAGACAATTCACATATATGGAAACGCGATCTCAGAGATAGCAGGATACGGCCTTTTGGACGATATATCACTACATTTGACTGGTCTCCTATCTTGGACATACATGACTGTGATACAAAATATGAAAAGTTTAACGATACAATGACTGTGATGATTGAAAAATTCTTTCCCTTGGAACGGATTAAAGTATGAAAGTGTGATAAGCCTTGGATGACGTCATCAATAAAGTCTGCTATTGGGAGACGCCAAAAAGCCTTACACGAAAGCGGGAAAAATTCAGATATTTATAAATATTGGCGTAACAGAGTCCAATCATGCATTAAAGTTGCACGAAAGATCTACTATATGAGGTCAGTTGAGAAATTAAAAAATTCTAACCCGGCAAGATGGTGGAAAGAAGTGAAAGCCATTGGTGGTCTCTCGTCAAAAAATTCTTGGTATTCTCAGCTATTTTCTGATGATGTTCGGAATTGCGAAGAACTGGCCGAAAATTTTAATAACTTTCTTACTGCCCTTACATCACATTTTGACCCTCTAACTCTCGACGAAATCCAGGAGGGCCTAGAAGTACCAAACCATTACCTCGTTGACGCCCAACAGATCTATATGAAACTTAGTAAAATTAAAACCACAAAATCACCGGGTCCTGACATGTTTCCAAATAAAATCCTGAAAACATTTGCCTTTGAGCTTGCCCCAGTTATCTCAGACATTTTCAACTCATCCATGACACAAGGCACCTTCCCAAAGGCATTGAAGAGATCTATTGTAGTGCCTGTCCCTAAGGTATCACCCCCAAAGAGTATTGAAGACGACCTACGACCAATATCTTTATTTAACATCCCAGATCGCCAAAGTTATGGAGGATTGTACTTTGGACAATTTTTTTCCTGAAGTTGTAAATAAACTTGACACCAAACAATTTGCACTCCCAAAGAAATCAACGACCCACGCTTTGGTCTACCTTTTACATTCAATCTTGGTTGCTCTTGAGAGAGGTTCCTGTACTGCCAGATTGTTCTTTGCAGATTTCAAGAAAGGTTTTGACCTAGTAGACCACAATGTTATTATTAAAGAATTAACCCTGCTTGGTACCCATCCCTCTATAATTCGGTGGATTAAAGCCTTCCTCTGCGATCGCGAACAATGTGTCCGGGTGGGAACTTCTATGTCCTCTTGGAAGAAAACAAATGGTGGCTTGCCACAAGGTACAAAGTTGGGTCCATTATTGTTTGCTGTTCTCATTAATTCCTTACTCAAAAACTGGCCCAGTAGGATCAAGTTTGTGGATGACACCTCAGCCCTAGAGATTATACCACGTTTTTCATCCAGTTTAATGCCATTAGTCGTAAATGAAATCTCGGACTACGCCTTAGAACGTGGAATGGAACTAAATTATAAGAAATGCAAACAAATGTTGATCAACTTTCTTAAATATAAAGGATCTGATGATGAAAACCCGATCTATGTTGCAGGTAAACCGGTGGAAACTGTGTCCTCTTTCAAACTCCTAGGTGTATGGATATCAAACGACTTGTCATGGAATACTCATGTCGACATGGTATTGAAAAAGGCAAATTCTCGCTTATACGCATTGCGTCTGTTAAAAAAGGCTGGTCTTCAAGCATCTGACATCGTCCAAATATATATCTCATTCATCAGATCCAGAATTGAATATGCATCCCCTGTATGGTCGTCAATACCTAAATCATTATCTGACATTCTCGAATCTGTTCAAAAGAGAGCATTGAGAATAGCTTATCCAGATCTGTTATATGATGAAGCCCTTGAAATTTCAAACTTACAGTATCTGAGTACTCGTAGAGACATCTCTTGCAAGAAATTCGTCGAATCTCTGCGACGTGATGTTTCACCCTACAACCCTTTGACCCAAATTATGGAAATTCGTCCCGGGGTAAAAACTCATGATTATGACTTAAGGAATGACAGAACGGCCGAACAACCTTTATGGTCAGAAACCACTGAACGGTTAAAAAACTTCGTGACTAGGAAATATTATTAGCTTTATAGTTAATTAACAGTCCTAACTAAATAAACATTATTTTATATAATATATATATATGTACATTTTAATATAAATTTTTATGCTATATTAGTACTCCATGTAATTCAGTTTTCCTTTAAAAACTGCAAATTGGTTTTAATTAAACAGATTGATTGATTGATTGATTGATTGATTGATTGATTGATTGAAATAATTAGTCATATATGTTGGCCATGTCAGTAAAACACTGCAAATTACGAGTTTAAGTTCAGCACTTTGTGCTTCGCAATTTCCACGCTCAATATTCCAAATTTAGAAACGTAATTATTGGGAATATTCACAACAAACTTGGGAACCCTGATATCGACAATAAGACAGTTGTTTTGAAAACACTTCCCGTAATTTGGCATTTTGCGGATATAAAGAGCTAGCAATGAGTCTAGCAAACCAAGTGTAATATGTTCCCATTATATTTGGTCATGTCTACATCTATAGAGGCACATGGCTTGATATTGGTGATATAATTATATATAATTACGCACGTGTTATTATAGTCTTGAACATGCAGACGAAATTTCCGCTCTTTGATAAACAGTGAAGAGAGCCGTCTTCCTTTTATTTAAGATCTATTCTTTATATCGGCATTAATTGTTTGCAGTTACATGCTATATAAATAAAACAGCACACACGTTCTCGAATTTTCGCTTGTATGTGAAAAATGTTTAACTAGAATACAATAAACAAACACGTTTTATTTCTTATAATGCGATGAACAAAATCCTTAAATGGTTTATTTGTTACTCAGAAAACACTCATCCCAAAGAGACTCATTGTACTACAAGCGCAAACATTAATCAAATCATCATAAAATGCATACAATATCTTCCCAAAACTTAAGCCGGTCCGATGTCGATGAACGATGTACACGAAAGGAATTGTTTCTTGAGAGAGGGGGACATTCAAACAAAAAACAAAGTTTGAACTATTATTGTGGATTATATTCATCTTTGTATTATTAATGAATAATTCATGATCATGCCATCGAGTTTACCGGCAAGAATTAGCCCCAAAAGAGCAAGCATAGATTTGATTTTATATTTCGCACTATAGCAATTGATCTGCAGCACTTTGAGGAGTTTGAAGACTGCTCTGGTTTATGGTGGACATGCATGATCAGGTGCATTAATTTGAACAATGTGGTGGATAGTAAAAAAAATGGGCGATAGGAGACAGCTGACGACAGCAGACGTGACCTATTGGAAATTCGTGATATCACGATTACAACGAATATAGACTATATAGTTGAGTCATAGATTAAGTAAGGACAGATGTGTAACTTCCGTAAAAAAGTTGTCCCACGGTCGCCATCTTCCTAGCAAGCGTCGCTCGCGTGATAATAGGGAGTTTACGATCGGCGACGCGGCCGGCTCAACGAAGCAGGTCTAAATTTCAGCTGAAGAATGAGCGGTAAGCAATTTGATTGCTGTGATAAATATTTGACGCTTTTTCAAATAACCTATACAAACTGCTACGTACGGCTGAGCGATGCAATGTTTGCTGTAATTTCGACTTTAAGTAACACCTCTTGAGTCGCATTAAGCTTTCACGTTGACTGAAAGACGTAATAATGCTTGTTTAACGTTGTGTTGAGAATGACAACGCGGTTGACAATACCTCTGGGACCACGAATTATCGACAGTTTTTGTCTTGTATGACAAATTTCTTTGTAAGTTCTTTGTAGGTTTGCATGGCGATAAAACACATAATACTATTGTTTGTGGAAACACCAAATTTCTTTGTTTTGAAAGCGCGTCGTCGAGCCGGCCGCGTCGTAGATCGTAAACTCCCTAATTCGTCATTTGGTAATGCGTCTTGCTTTCAGAAATGCTTTCAACAACTTTAATTAAACATTCAACATTGTTTAATCCAAAAATTTCGATCCAAAAAGGCCGCAATAAAATGCAAAAGTTCGCGTTTTTCAGGACGCCATTTTGCTAGCAAGTGTTATGGCGTGAGCATGACGTGCATGCACATCTAGGGGACACGAAGTCCTATGAAGTTATACATCTGGTATATTCTTAATCTGTGGTTGAGTTCTTCTTTCATTTTCCCATATTTTTCGCAGTCAAAACAGATAGTAAAACAATGACATATCTGGTTTCTCAGACAATCAGTGCTTGTAAAAAAATATCAGTCCAACCCTTGGTCTTTCATAGACTGCCCACGTTGCGGCAGCTTAAAAGCGCGTGTAGTGTTAATAGTCTCGATCTTAGAAAGCACTACCCTATTAGTGGACATTTCCCATTTTACTACTCTATAATCTATTGGCTACCCCTAATTTCCCACAATTATCTACCTCGCTATACACGAGGAACTTCTCCGGGGGAAAGCATCTGCAACGCGGTTATTATTGCGTGGTTATTATTACGTTTAAACAGATCTTATCTTAAAAGCATCGATTGTCTGAGAAACGAGGTATATCATCAAATGCGTGCCTAATACATCAGACCTCTAGAGACCACTGGTAGTTGGGGACAGGAAATTACCATAACTCCAAGTGGGTTAGGGTAAAACGCGGATGCGGACGAACAGACGGCGGACGGATGGATGGATGAGAGGGTAAAATGCGGACGGATAGACGAATGAGAGGGTAAAATGCGGACGGATCTGAGAGGGTAAAATGCGGATAGGAGGGTATATTCACATCAATAAACATATGCTTGTAAGTATGTGTATGTCAGGGGAAAGATACCAGTTTGATACTTTCAAGCAGGAGAGATTGAATTTAAACAATGCTGAGACACTAGGTCAAACGTTTACTTATGACATGAGCTCTTTTAAGCTCTCACTGTGAAGTTTTAGTTAATCCGAAAAAGTAAAATTGTAAATAAATATATAGTGAATGAATAATACTTACTAATCGGAATTTTAGTAAGCCACGAATAAACAAAAACCTTGAAAAGGTCTATACATTTCTATGCTATTTATATGCTATGTCTATATATTTCTATGCTATTTATATGCTATGTTTTTGTCTTTATTGTTTTGCCAAAATACCACGTGTATGATAATTAGTAAATTATGGTCCATCATATCCCGGGGCCTTCATCAGTGCAAGTAAAAACTGATGCACTGAATGAAAATCAGGGCTTTGTAATTGTAGTACGTTCCACAAAATACATTAATGACAATGCAATGCAATACAATGCAATGCAAGCCAACAAAGAAATTTCTACAAAATGCAAGCCAACAAACAAAGAAATTTCCAAAAGCCTTTCTACATTGTTGCAAGTAAATAAGTGAGCGTGTGCTAAGCTGAATGGACCTTTCCCCTTATAACTAAAATTTTGATCTAGACAAGTCTAGACAGAAATTTCATCACAGCTTGAAAGAGCATCACAAAATTAGTAATATTCCGAAGTTTCGTTGCGAAATGTTGTAAAATGCGGATAATATAGCCCTGCGAAATTTGCAATTTTCAGTCATTTTGTATTACAAACGGGAAATTGACGCCTCTGCATGGCAGCCACTTCATGACTCATATCTGATCACGGTGCTACAGTGGAAGGATCAATTTGGAGCTTATCCCAACCCACCCTGTTAACTTTCTCTGTGGGAGAAAACCCACGACTTTCGGTAGAGCGTTGACTCTTTTCACATGCGTATCATGAGCGAATCGAACCCACGATCTCAGAGACAAAGCTGAAAGGCGCCTGCTCTCACCATAGACAATCCAGAAGACATTCATTGTCTTGTGGATTGTCTATGCTCTGACGAATGCGCCACCGCAGCCCAGATTGATCCAACAATGTTGGATAATGTCGGATGGAAGTTTAAACCCATTGAACTATAAATAAACTGGAAGGCTAACTGCTATGATGAAGGCCTATGATTTGATGAAGCCAAAATAGTTTTTCTGAGTTATGAGCAGAAATACTTGAACCCAAACGTCGAGCTATACATCAAATTGAAGCTATTGAAAATTGCTATTCGGTGTGGAAATTTCAAGACTTCAGCGAAAAGAAAAATATTTAAAAAATACAAAAACAACTGCAAAACGGCAAATTATCGGTAATTATGTTTGTAGTTTTTCAGTATTTCCCTTTTAGCTAAAGTCTT